GGAGTGTTCAAAGGTAACAGAGGCAGGAATCCAAAAGCTCAACTTAAAAATGCAAACCAGAACCAAGGGAAGACATGCACTAGGATCCAAAGAGAGACGAGAAAAGATGAGGAACAAGCACTGAGGAACTGCACAGGGAGAGTATTTATAACTTACTGAACAAAGACCGGTCTAACGAGTTAATTGGGAGCAGGTGTTAACTTTGAGTAGACCTACTTAGTTGATTTAAAATGACAATCGGATTGTCACTAATTTTCCTTTTTTATTTTCGATAACTCATGGATAATATCCTTTCATAATCAAAAGGCTGGAACTGTGGTTAGAAAATTAAGATTTATCTTATTTCATATATATATTTATCCTATTTACTCACTATAAAGGTTTTCACTCAGTCTGTTTCACCTGCAAGGCCGCACAATTCTCCTGCATGAGGGTGTTTGTAGACCAGACATAGCTTCTTCCCAAAACAAGCCAGATTCTTTCTCAAGGTTTATTCATAACATGTTACTATTAACCAAAGTGTCTGTAATTTGTTTTGAATCTGACTACTTTCCATTGTTCTAAGTATGGGGGAACACACACTGCCCAGGCAGAATGGGCCTGACTACAGAGCAGTAAGGACTAGGGGTGTGCAAAATAATCGTCATGATGATGCATCGTGATTCTAATTTTCGTGATCTACTGCATCGATTCTTGATGCCAAGTATCGATTATTAATAAAAAAAAAATAAATAAAATTGCATGAATGGTTGGCGAACATCAGCCAAAAACAAGTGTAATACAACTTCCAGTCCAGTAGATGTCGCTGTGGATGTGTTGACGCACGCTGCCTTGAGTCACAAATATTTCCGGCCTCGGGGTACTACACTGAGTGAATAAAAAAAAAAAACATGGAGGAGAAAATATTGCAATGCGTCGCAATAACTCAAGGATCGTGATGCGTCGTGATAGAATCGCATCGTGGCCTGTGAATCGTGATTCAAATCGAATCGTGACTTCTTTGGCAATACCCACCCCTAGTAAGGACTGTATGAAAAAAAAAGTGCCAACTGAGGAAAATCGATCAATCTATTATTTATTTTAGCTATTTATTTAACTAGGGTGAATAGTTGAATATTTTTTTCCCACTACAGCGACGGCAAAAGTAACACAGTCCTTCTTTCTCTCACTGTAGACAAGCCATGATCTGCTTATCTGTTCTGCATTTTTTTTATTTGGTTGAAATAACACAGT